AAATGAAAAGACAACTCCAAATTTGAAAAAACCTTAGAAAAAACATATTTGAATTTGCAAAGAATCCAGAAATTTCGTTCCCAAATTTGAATAGCATATCAAATAATTCTAGAGCTGGATAGCTAAGAAGAAACTGGGTGCTATTCCGCCATTTTTTCTACAGAATTAGCAAAACGAAATACCCAAGAACAAAGATAAAGGTTACAGCCTTACCAGAATGAGCAGCTCAAGATCGGAGAAGAAGAACAGAGGAATCGCAGAATTGCTACAGGTGAGAAAAAAGGAGATAAATCTGAGTTTTATAAGTAACGAAGAAATGGAAAAGAAAAGCTGGATCTGAGACTTACCGAACGCTCGACGAAGTGAACCTCGACGGAGTGGCTCCGACAATGGCAACTGACAGACGAGATCACGAGAATTGGAAGGCCAATCGCGATGACAGTGGGAGGAAGGAAAGGGCAAGAGAGAGATTTTGGTTTTAAGTCAGTAAATATTAAGGGCTTGTTTGGTTTGAATTATAAGAGTTTTTACTTTTTTTTTTTTATTTAGTATTGTTATAAATAATAAATTTAAATTTTTATTAAAAAAAATTTAAAAATTATTTTTTTAAATGAAAAAAAATAAATAGTTTATAAAAAATTTAAATTTAAAATTTTTAAGTTTTTACTATTTAAAATCTTTTTAAAATTTAAAAAAAAATTAAAATATATAATTTTAAAAAAATTAAAATATATAATTTTTAAAAAATAAATTAAATTTATAAAATAAAAATAATATAAAAAAACTTAAACTTCTATAAACTCCTCCTATATCCCATCCCACTATATCCCAAGGGGTACATCGGATAAATTTCATTACTGTGGGTTAAGATAGGACAAAACATGAGTTATGTTTTATCCAATCCGTTGGCATCCCCAAACACGGGTTATGGCTGGTCAAGATTCATTTTTATCCAATCCCGCAATTAATCCAGCGTTCCAAACGGGCTGTAAAGGTATTGTGTTAGAAAGGTTTAAGGGGGAACGGAATATGCTCAGTATGGTAGGGATTGCAAATGCTAGCGAGCAAATGTAGTGATCATCTGTGGCCTGCACATTTGGATGTGGCTTCAACATTTGGATCAGTGCTTAAGGTTAGAAGTCCTGTTCAATATCTGTCTAGTTTAAGGAAAATTGTTTTTATCTTGACTCTTGAGTCCCTGATTCCTTAATCAAACAGAACTTTATTTTTCTTTTTTATCGATATATACCTAAGAACGCAAGTGTATCATGTATACACCAAATCCTCTAACGACAAAAATTTGTTGGTGGTTTGAAATAGGAAATTACGACAGTGTTTATGAGGAGCCATACACTAATCTACTCATCTCACAGAAAAACTTTTATGCATCTTTCTTTAGCTAGAAATAGTAATTATAATGTTTCTCTATTCCTTGCAAAGAAATATCAAATTATATGAATCATTTAACTCTTTTAGTGCTCCCTTGTTGCTTAAGTTTCAAACATTTGTGGGCAGCACAATGTAAATAGTAGCTTGCCTCTTTAATGCAACATTTAGATTTATGATATCATTCACTATACCAACAAAAGTTTGGCCAAGTTGGTACCCATTTAAAAGACATTTTTGAGATTAAGATTTGAAATTCAAATATCTATGATGTTAAGCAACTAATTCTTCAATTTAACATATAAAGTAAAAAAGATAGTATTCTTCATTCAGTTAATTGATACAGTAGGTAGTTAGTAGGATAATTGTATATCAACATTTGCTTTTCCATTATTGAAAATTTTCTATTTTTCAAATACAGCTAGTATTTTTAAGCTCTATTTTAACTAGAGGGGCTATTGTAAAGTTAACATTACTTCTTCGATATTTATTAGTGGAAAATAAATTGTTTGAATTCTGAAAGTTAATTTAAGTATGTCTCATGTCTAACTTTTTTGTGGCTGATCAAACAGTTTTTACATCTATTCTTTTTAAAAGAAATTTTAATTTGAATGCAACAACTGGCTTCCTTCTTGCTGACATTTTCATCGCAGACTCATTTTCATCATTTTTGCATGTTTGAATGCAACAACTTCAGCGGTAACACTCAAAGCTTCAAAATCAAATCTAAAGAAAACAGATATCTTAATACATCCCTCGCACTTTGGACCTATTCTTTACAGCATTTGTGCTTTGGTTGTCATTTTCTTTGCAGCACATAGTAAAATGTCTCTTAACTCTTCAGCACCTCCTTCACTAGAATCACCACAGCTTCTCCTTCTTTAGACTTTGCTGGAGGTTCTGCAATATCAAGGTTACATGCCTTACATCTAACGTGGACTTTATCTTTGAAAGAGTTGGCATTTCTAGCAACTACGTACTTTTGTTTATTCTTCATCTTCTACAGCTCCCTGGGGCTTAGGATTTGGCTACTTGGTCATCAAAGTGATTTGATGCAGTTCACTGGGTACTCTGTTAGTCTACAGTGGCATGTTCTCAAAAATAGTTGCTATTTAAATCTCCAAATGTTTATAAATAAATGTATACCCTTGAAAAAATAGACTATATATATATATCCACCAAATATTTATTACAACTGTGGCAAATGCAGAAGCCTAATCAATCACCAACTTTGACGAACGGTCAAAGCATAGTTTGACATACATGACAACAATCATTTATTCAAAGCAACACGCATGTATTAAAAAAAAAAAAAAAAACATCATCTATTCAAAGCAACATTCATTCAAGTGACTAATTCACTGGCATCACTAGAAATTGCAAGAACTTTTTACCGCTGTCCTCAACCCCTCAAGTTCCTCATCCCCCTAGCGACCATATCTGCCGTCCTGCTCATCGAGGATATTTTTTTCTTACCAAAGATGTTTGAGCTAAAAGTCAAACCCAAAATCTCAACCAGAAGAGGAAATTGCAACAACACGTAGCATACGATAGGAATACCAGCAAACAGAGTTATAGGAATGACTAACCCCAGTCTACCTTGACCTTGCAGCATTATGAAAAGAGCAGTACAAAATGCTGTGGTCATTGTTGCAATAGAGACGAAGAGTGAAGTAAGGCCGATAATCAAGAGGAAGGTTTTGCGGTAATCTTCATCAGAATGATGTGAAGTCAAAATCCCCAAAAACATTAACACTGAACTGGATGCAGTAAAAAGAGAAATTGCATCTGACACCATAAATGCCAGAAACGGTGTCGGTGTTTTGTGCAAAAGTACGGGGAAACCTGTATTTGCATCATTCCCACCAGGAACAGAAAAAGCCACTGCAAACATAATTGTAATAATAAGAGCACCAACGACTGTTGAAGATTCTGCTGTTTTCTTCACCCATTCTTCTGCTTCTTTTAGCAAATCCTTGTGTTCTCTAACAAACACTTCCGAGGG